ATATTTTAAATGGTTTAATCTTCATATTTTTAAAAAAGTATTATTGGTTAATAAGTCCCGAAAACATAAACATCAATTGCCATTTTGTCGTCACTGCGGCTGCGTCTAGAAGTCTTGATCACACGTCACATTCATTTTCCTCGTGCTACACCACGAGGTAGGATTATTGACTTATATCTAGAGGAATTAAGTGTGTTTGGTTTGGGAATTTGATTATAGTTAAAGATTATAAATTTGATACGCAACAAGCATTACCTAGATTTACTTTGGCTTTGATGAAATGTAACGATTATTCTCGAAAATCTCTACCAGTATGGTTCTGATATAACTCGGACTTCAAATCTGTTAGAATATATAATACACAATTTTAAAATGAACTAGCTAGGTAAGAGTTGATGGATCTTACCTAAACCGAGCAAGATCATTTACATATCCTAAATTTATTTCTTCGTGAGGCTTAAAGTAGATAATTTGATGATTGATGATTTATACGTATTTAAATCTTTAGGTTAGTGTTCTTTGTCTTTTTTTTTTTTTTCCATCGACGCAGGATGGTTTAGAGAAGAGTGAATATCACACAAAAAGAGAGAATCAATCAATACATAGATGATAAATTATTTTCAAACAATCATCATTCATCAATAGAATAAAACCCAATTTCATATCATTTAGTATTGGGTGGATCAGTAAAACCCAAAAGGCCTATTTGGGCCTTAGTTCGATTAAACTTCTTACTCAATGTTGGGCCTTAAAGAGATGTTAAAAGTCCAATCAGAATTCTCCGTCCTTTATCACTTGTCTTTGGAGTAACTAAATTCAACAGATTTCTGTTTCATATTTTTTGTTTTCTGTTCAAGCTTATCACTTACAAAGATCACACCTACCAAATAGTTTTTCGACACAACATAACGTATAAAAAAAAAGAGAGCCCTCATTTCCTTAATTTTCAAAAGAAGAAATACAAAATTAGTCAAAAAAATCTGTGAATTGCTGGATAAAAAAAGAAGAGTTATTTTCTTGTTTGTTTAAAATCAACTATTTCTCAAGTGATTTCGTGGAAGTTGAGTTTCTTTATTTATTTTAAAACTCTTCCATTAAAAATATCAAAAATGGAAAAAGGTTATAGCTACATGATGACTCATAACAGACTGGGCGTTATGAGAAAAATGAGAGAAAAATAGAAAGAAAAAGAAAGGGCAAAATAGTAATTTCAGAACAGAAAAAAAAGACCGCCTCTTCGAGAGAAACGAACCCGAAAGCCTCTCTTTAATAGAACCTCTCTCCACTAAAGCTTTTTGCAGTTAGGAAAAAAAACAGGTACAATTATAAACCCAGAAACCAAAAAAAAAAAAATCATTTTTATTTTCGTTTCAAAAAACAAAAAAAAAACATGGAAGGTGAAGAAACTCATCAATCGGAGCCGTTACCTTTACCATCGGCAGATTCCGATGAAGGAATCAGCGCTGCGATTGAGGCTGAGCTCGCCGAGTTAGCTGCCGGAGGAGACTCAAGCGGCGGTGGTGGTGGAGGAGGGATTAAGAGTAAAGTGAAAGGACCTTGGTCTACGGAGGAAGACGCGGTTCTTACGAAGCTTGTGACTAAGTTAGGTCCGAGGAATTGGAGTTTGATCGCTCGTGGAATCCCTGGTCGTTCTGGTAAATCGTGTCGATTAAGATGGTGTAATCAGCTTGACCCTTGTCTCAAACGCAAACCTTTCTCTGGTAAACAAAAAACCCTCGATTTCGTTAAAGATTCCTGCTTTTTGGGTTTTTTTGTTATGAGGATTTTGGTTTCGATTTGGGGTTAGATTTGTAGTGTTGTTATTGGAAAATGTTCTTAAATCCTTGAGTGGTTGTTTTGTTTGTTGAAATGAATTTGAATTGGGTTTTTTTTTTTTGCTACTGGATTTGGTAATCTTTTGTGATCTCTAGTAATGTCTTAATTCTGTATCCGAGAGATTGTGAAGTGTGATATGAGAATTATGTTTGACTTGTTTCTATTGTGGTTCAAGTATTCAGTGACAAAAGTGAGCTAATACTTCATGTAAATTCTTGTAAATTCGATTACTAGTGGCTATAGAGTAAGAGGAGAAAATGTTGTTCTGTAGTCACTTGGAAAAACTAATGAAACCGAGTTTAAGGATTCATAACACATTTATTGCGAATATAGCTTCATTGGTACATGAAAGCATAGAAAAGTTGGAACTTGAGACATGTTTATGCACTTTTTCGGATTCTCTTGAGGTTTGGTTGTTGATTGATATGGTTTTTTTTCATTTCTTTCTGTTTGATCTGCTGCACAGATGAGGAAGATCATATGATAATTTCTCTTCACGCGGTTCACGGAAACAAATGGGCTGTGATTGCGAAAATGTTACCTGGGAGAACAGATAATGCCATCAAGAATCACTGGAACTCTACGCTAAGACGTAAATACGCAGATCTATGGAACAGTGGTCAATGGGTGGCAAATTCAGTTACTACTGGTTACATCAAGAACGAAAATGTCGACGGGATATCTAATCCTTCCTCGAAACAACAGTTGCCTCAAGCAGAAATCGATTCACCACCAAAGCCTCCACAACTTAATGATGTTACGATGGATGATGCAGACAATGAACCTGAAGAACAAGTCCCAATAGACAGTAACAGTAACGCTCCAGTAGACGGTAATGCTCCAGTAGATGGTAACCCTCCACTAGACAGTAGTAACGTGTTTCGCCCAGTAGCTCGTGTTGGCGCATTCAGTGTCTATAATCCAACCAGCCAGAGAAATGGATACAGAAACCACAATATAGTTCCATGTGAGGGACCATTGGTTCAAGCGGCTAAACCCGATTCATTGGCTGGTAAATTTCTACAATCTCTTTGCGATGAACCTCATATACCTTCGAAATGTGGTCACGGTTGCTCTACTTGTCCAGCTGAAACTAAGTTTTCTGGTAAGTCGGTATTGGGACCGGAGTTTGTGGATTACGAGGAGCCTTGTGTAGTTTTCAATCAAGAACTGATATCTATAGCAACTGATTTGAACAACATTGCGTGGATAAAGAGTGGCCTTGACAATACCATTGTTAGAGAAGCAGAACAGAATTTGAAGACGGATCATTTCAATTACAATGATCCTCGAGTCCAGTTTTCTGGAATGATGCCTAGACAAGATTTCTTCTTCTGTGCAAGAAGCTGAAACTCAGAAGAAAGGCTTTAGA